AGGCATAACAAGAACCAATGGCTGGAAGCTGGAGCCAGACAAATTCAAATTAGAAATCAGGCACACATTTTTAATAGTGAGGGTGATTCATCATTGGAACAAACTACCAAGGGAAGCAGTGGATTCTTCAGAGCAAGACTGGATGCCTTTGTGCATCAGTCAAACACAAGTTATTGGGCTCAAAACTGGGTGAAATGTATTGGCCTGTGATATACAGGAAGTCAGACTATATAATCTAATGGTCCCGTCTGGATTTAAACTCTATGAATGAATGGCCTCATCAGTTTTACCTCTAATCCATAAGAGCAAGTACATCTAGCAGCATACAGTGCAGGCTGTGGTTCAGTACCAAATAAGATGGGGGGGAAAAAACATCACTGAATCATCAGTAGTGCTTTCTGAAACCACCTGTGAGTTTCTTTAAGGTCAGCCATTCAAGTACTGGTGCACCCCAACATTGCTTAACTTGAGGGGGGGGGGGTATGTCTGCACTGCAAGTGAAGGCATGATCATAGCAGGGGTAAGTATAGCCTGTCAGTTTTAGTCAGGCTAGTGTGGATGACATCATCATGCAAATGTGTCAGCACAGGCTTCAATACAGGCTAGTAGTGCAAGTACAGCCCTCCAGCAACCATGGGTATGTACTCTGGTTGGTAGCCCATGCCACTGCATGTATGCTGCTATCCTTACCTGTGCTAGCTAAATTAAAGTTAGTATGGTTATGCCTACCTGGGTTACCTGTATAGACAGACGCTAATACAGGCTGCCTGAGGGATTCTGTTCCAGTCCTTTTCTTTTGAGGGAAGTCAGACGGCTACCTGTTGCAGACATTGTCTCTAGTTGGTGCTCCTTTAAGCCCTTTCAAGATAAACAGAGTCCTTAACATTTAACTTCAAAGCCAAAAGCTCCCAGGTCCTTCCAATATAGGGATTCCTTTGTCAGCAGAGTTTGTTAGGACTTGCACTTTCAAAGCACTAATTGGGCTAAATACTCCATTCAATGCTGTTCTTTAAATTTGCCTTTAATATCTTATCAGGAATAGGCATGCTGTTTCTATGTGCTTCCCTCAGTGAAACAGGCTGTTACCTTCAGGGGCTTCACTGTATGGTCAGTTTTCTTCAAACATCTCTCTAACGTGTTCATTTTGTTTGATATCCCCTATATTTAAACTTTGAGACACAGAAGTACACTGAAACAAGTAATATTTGCCAGCAATTAGTTCTGTGAGAGCTGTAGTAGAGCAAGGTTCTCAAAGTTTTTCTTTCTGAGCCCCCCCCACCTCCCCAACTTGCTATAAAAACTCCAAGGCCCAGCTGTGCCACAACTACTGTTTTTCTGCATTTAAAAGCCAGGGCGGGCATTAGGGGGTAGCAAGCAGGGCAATTGCCCAGGGCCCTACACCACAGGAGGCCCCGCGAAGCTAAGTTGCTCAGGCTTTGGCTTCAGCCCCGGGTGATGGGGCTCGTGGCCCCGGGCTGCAGTCCTGCATGGTGGGGCTTTGGCTTTCCGCCCTAGTGAGTCTAACACCAGTCATGCTTGGAGGACCCCCTGAAACCAGCTCACAGCCCCCCAGGGGGCCCCAGACCCCAGTGGAGAACCACTGGGGAGGACAGTAGCACTGTAGAGGCAGGGAAAGCTTCTGCAACTGCATTAACTACATGGACCTTGAAGAAGTCTGGCCTGTCACTCTTGCTCTTTGGCATTATTCCAGCAGCACCAGATAAAGTCCATGTTTAAATGCTTCCAGACCGCACAAACGACATGTACATGCACACACATGCACATACGTGCAAAAAGAATAGCAGAAAAAGAAGGAACAGCAAAGAAACCTAGAAGAGCAGCACAGTTTAGGCTCCCCCTTATTTATTTATCTTTTAAAAATCCAATTGTATATCTGCTGCCCGGTCTAAAGTCCTGAAACAGCTCCTCTTCTTGGTAAAATCAGATTTAACTGCCCCACCCTCCTCCGTGTGTCTCATGCACATGTACCACAAGCACAAAGAGGATGATTTTCCACTTGTTCAGATGAACTCAAACGTAGGTCTGCTCTACATTTTAAATTTAGGTCAACATAACTACGTTGATCATGGTGTGTGAAAAATCCGCACCCCTGAGTGACATAGGTCTGCTGACCTAATCCCCAGTGTACACAAAACAAGGTCAATAGAAGAATGCTTCCATCGACCTAGCTACTGTTGCTCAGAAAAGTGGTGTTCCTACACCGACAGAAAACCCGTCCATCACTGTATGCTGTGTCTACCCTATAGGGTTACGCCAGCATACCCCTAGGGTATAGTCCCTGGAGAGTAAACATATCATGAATTACTGCATGCCAAGGAAACAAGGCCAGGACAAAATCGGCCTGAGAGACACTGTATCACTAGTACTGTAGATAAATCCCCGTGGGCAGAAAAAGGCCCTTGCAGCCTGGCAAGACTTGCTAGTACCTGTGCATTCCGATATTCAGCCACACACCCAACCCAGAAAACCAGCAGATCTCATTTCCAGGGACAAAGCAGCTGACAAACCAAAAGCAAAAAAAACCCAAACACAGAGCAGAAATAGAGTACAAGAGAGCAGAGCCATTTGGATTCTAGCACATACCCATCGCCATCGTGAAAACTGTTAAACAAGCATTTTAATTGGCTAGTAGAAGCATGTAAGAACCTCTCCTGCCTATATGTACAGCAATGATCTCCATTTTTAATCTGATAAAGTTCCTCCTCAACTCACTGAACTCAATCTACTCCAGCCTTGTGCCCATTTGAGGCCAAAGATAACTTTCATTGCAGAGAAGATGTCTGAGCGCATGAGATTTCTAAAACAAACAATAGTAATAGACACTTAACTATAGTAGGTCTTCAACTCAACTAATATTAATCTTTTCTCCACTTTGAAGGCTTTTAAAGCAAGCATTTAAAACACAAGTGTGTGAGAACTATTCATGACAAGCAAAATTTTAATTGTTTCTCTGACCTGCCAAAATATGACACACATGCCATAATTTATGAGAGTTACAAAGAGAGGCATTTCAAGTGAAAAAAAGAGACACACTTGTTTAATTTCATTGAAATCCACTGAATGAGAAGGTCTTTTCAGAGAGAGAAAGGAAAAATTAAAAATATTTTGCTAAACACTATTGTCTGTCTTCCTTAAATAGGGTCAGCAGGTATGCATGCACAAGTCAGCCAATCATTATGCTGAAAAAAGTGATGTTCTTGTTATGGGAACCATGGCAAAGAAAATCAGAATTGGTTTGCAAATATTGGCACATCCTTATACTGCAGAAAAATCAGACTTGTATAACAAGTAAACTATGTAATGCAAGAGAATGCTTGAATTTCTATGGCGCATTGCTATTTTACCTGGTAATTGCACTTAGTTTTTCCTCTCAAAGCCCACATTTCAGTCCAGCTAGTTACCCAAACTGAAACATTAGACAGATTATCCTTTAGTCAGTATATACCTAGACATACAATTAAGTCTGTTAGTCTGTGAACAGATGATACACAACAATCAGATAGGCTTAATGGCCTCTCCTCCTTAAGAGCACTAGTTTGTCTTTGTTGTTTTAGTACAAAGTTGAGGGCTCTAACAGAACAATGTTTAGGAAAAGCCACACTGCATTTGGCTATATGTAGTGTAGCTAGACTGTCATAAATAAGAATAGCAGTTTTCAACGCAGTCAATCTGTAGGCTAAAACATCTATTAAAGATATAATTATAAATAACTGCCATACATAAACTTCAGTGTATACAGACCTTTTTCCAGTTACAATAATCTTAAATATAATAGTGGGGTGCGGGGGAGGATCTACATTATCTGTGAATTGTTCTATGCATGGCTCCATAAAACCTAATGCTATTTTAATACTTAACACTGGACATTGCACTTAGGCCATCACAAGTGATACACTGGTTGCAGTCATATGGCTGTGGTCCATAAACAGACACAAAAGAGCTCAGTACAACCATTAGAGAAAAAAAGCTGTAACTAATTTTGAAAGGCATGTAGCTACTGGCAAGAAGAAACAACGATTGCTGAAACGTTAAGAACCAAAATTGAATCTTTTCATATCTGTGCTCTTGTTAACAATCATCGTTTAAGCCTGAGAACACAGCCTACAAAGAAAATTCTTTACACTTCCCCATTTGTTCTCAATTTTTCATTTTAACAGAAAAAAAAAATCTTTAAATCCCACTAAGATGTGCAAATGTTATAAAGGACAAGCTATCTAAAGACATAAACAGAGCTGTGTGAAAAAATTCTCCCCTGACAGCAAGATCAGTGAAAATAAAATCATTTTCTGTAATCACATTTCAAAGTTTATCTGGTTTATGTCAAAATGAAAGGCAAGCCTTTGCACAAACTGCCCCAGTGACATTTTGAAGCGTTCATGGTGAAAAAGCTGTGGTTCCCAGGAAACAATTACAAAATTATGCACTGTAGCAAATTTCTGAACTTAAAAAAAATCCATTTTCATACTTGAATATTCAAACACTAATATTTTGCAATACTAATGGGAGAAAAAAAATCCTACTTGCCCGAAGTAGAGCTGCAGCCATGCACAAACCACCCGTTTTACCAGAGTTTGAAGTAATAATTTCAACTACTTACTTTTATAATTAACTAGCTCTGAAAAAGGAAATTGGCTAATTAAAAACATGTGTTTTCTCACTTTTTTTCCTTCTTGTATACTGTATTTTGCTTTTCTACCTGCTGTCAGTCTGTTGTCTGTGAGCGTTCTTGTATGCCAGAAGCTGAGAGTTTTGGAGGGCTGTTTAGATCTGTTCTATGTAGCTTTATGTGACAAAGCTCTAACTAATACTGGAATGTTTTTAATAATTGGATCCTTCCTACCCACCAAATGCTTTATAAAGTGACTGCCTGGTCTGTATCAAAACACAAAGGGTTTCATAATGAGAGACTTAAGAAGCGTTGGGTAAACAGGAATAGGTAGTTTTATGTTAATAATGTGGAATAAAATTAAAACATTTACACAATTAATGCAGAGCCAGATATCATCTGAAACATTTGGGTGAACAAGTCCGATGAAGGCAGCACTCTCTTCTGCGTGGAATGAAGGGAGCATTGCTCGACTCAGGCTAAACAGTCACCCATGGAGTGCTACTAACATCAACCATGCAAGAATCCAGCTCTCTCCAGGCCAGGTGCTGTTGCATGTCCTCCAAGCAGGGGAGCGGGAGGAGGAGGAGTCCTACTCAAGGATGCAGCTGCCAACGCTCACGGGCTCCATCCTGCAGTGTTAGACAAGATGCAGCTGGAGCAAGATCCCAGCTGCCTGGCACTGATCTGACGGCCGATCCAGAGAAGGGAAACAGCTTTACACTGCACCTCTCTCCTGCTCCTACCCCAGTGGGAGCGGGAACGTCGCCCAAATAAAGAGGGCAAAAGGCCAGGCCGGGAGGTTGCTAGAGATGAGGTCCCTGCCCGTTTCTCTATCCCCCCGGGGGGAGATGGTTATATAATGCCGGGAACGTGCAACAAGCGCACCTAGCTGCTCTGGCACAGGCGCCTCGGGCAGGTTGCGCGCAGCGATCGCATCCTGCTGGTTAGCCGGAGCAAGGGCTGCTGCTGCTACCTCGGGCGCAAAGTCCACCACAAACGCCGCTCTCCGGCGCGGTGCCACCCCGGGCCGCTCTTCTACTGCCACGAGAGAAGCGCAGCCAGCCAGTCCCGGAGCCCAGCGGCGGCTCCACGTGCCGCCCTCGCTGCGGCGCGCAAGGGGATGGCGAGGGGCTGCAGCCTGCGCTGCGCTGCCCCGCGGGCACCCCCTGCGCTGTGCCTCAGTGGCACCAGCTGACCCTTGGCCAGCCCCAGGCAGCGCCCTGAGCTCTCGCCTGCCCGCCGCGGGGATGCCTTACGCTGCCCTCGCCCCTTGACAAGGCGCCCACTTACCCCTCGGCTCTGAGCGGGCGCGGGTCCCCCCAGCCCAGCCTGGCAGCCACCCGGGAGCCGACGCACGCAGGGAAACCCAGCCACCGCGAGCCGGGCGCCGCCGCCGCTCCGCCCCCGCTGGGCTGGCATTGGTGAGCGGCCCGGCGCCCGCCCCCATAGGCTGTGCGGGGAGGGCCCCGCCCTGGCTCCCGTCGGGTGTGAGGTAATGAATTAACGCGCCCAGAGCCGCTGCCTTAAATGGCTGGTTGCAGGCCGTAGTACCCGGCCACCGCGCCTGTTATTTATACCCTCGCGCGCCTCCCCGGCGCTGCTGCTGCGCCCGGGGCCCGGCGGCAGGTGCCCGGGCAGGTAGGGGGCAGGCAGCGAGCAAGAGGCCAATCACAGCGCCGAGGGGCGGCGGCTCTGCTGCTGGAAGGCTGGAGCTCGGAGCCTGGCTGCGCTTTGCATCCTGGCCCTCATTGCATCGGCGCCCCCTGGGAACGAGCCTCGCTGCTCCTGCATCCCCCCCCCCGCCCCATCTGTCCTTGCAGAGGGGGCCACGTCGCCCTGGGCCCGGCCAATTCTTGGTCCCGCTCTCCCAAATTCCACGGCCTCACTGGACCCTGGTTAGCTGCTGCTGCTCCCAGCGCCTTGGAAATCTGACCCTGGATGCCCCCACTATCCCAGCACCACAAAAACCGGGACCTGGCCTCGGGAGCCCGGCAGAGTTTGGCCACAAATGCAGAAATGGTACCGTCAATATCGAGAACAAGTGTTGCTTCTACTATTCCTCTGAAAATCACCAGACACACACACACAGCACATTTTGGTACCTGGAAGGTGGGGAAAGGGCTAATCTGGAGTTTGTGTCCTGGGATCACGATTTTTAAGCTGCAGCAGAAGCAGCTAAACACATTTAAGCAGTGGAAGTTATGAGACTAGGGCCAAAAATTGGCAGGATCCAGGTGCCACATCCTGGATTTTGTGGTACTGCTGTACTGGGATGCAGCAGTGGGTGACTTCACTTGTTTTTTCTTTTTGACAGTACAGTTTAAGGACTTTGGTCCAAAATTTGGCAGAATCCAGGTAGATCTAGCCTGTACCTCTCTTCCTCATATTATGAGCGCAGGGAACCTAGTCTCAGAGGCACGAGCTAGGTGTAAGGAGAGGTCATATATCACAGGCGTGGTTAAACAACAAAGTTACTCATGGAGGAGCATCCTGGAGCTGGAGCCCTTAAATGCAAAAGCAAGAAAAGGGGCAAGTATAGAGCAAGTCTACATAATAAGGATACTCAGCCATATGGTCCCTATAGTCTATAGCAATGCCATTGAATAGCAGAGAAACATGGTATGGGCTACACATAGCATCCTAGAAATCACCACTTGAAGGAGGTGTTCTCTTAATGCTTAATAACAACCCCAGAAGACTGTGCACTGCTGATCAAAGTTCTCTTCCCTACTAGGCAGGTTGGCTGATAATTTCTCCAGGAGTGCATTCTAGTTCCTTTGATAGATGGGTGACCAGACTCTTGGACAGGCAGGAGTTGAAGTAAGGTGGTGGGGGAGATTAGAACAGCTCTCCCTTCTCCACTAAAATCTAGTTTGGGTAAGCAGTGCTGCCTCACAGCTCCAGCTCCCCCTCAGCTAGTACTGTGAGAGCTCCCCCTCCTGTTTCAATCTGCTTTAACCACTGGGTATAGATTGCTAGAACTGGGACATAAAATGAGCCAGTAAACCTCATTCTGCTCTCAAAAGTTTTCTTCCACTTTTTAGAAGACTGAAAGTGGAACCTCAGGTCTAATAAAAGGGAGGTTATGATTCTTAGTAATGCTGAGAACCTGCTTTCAGCAAGGGAAAGTAATGCTATTGCAGTCAAGCCAGTAATTCTCTAGATCTGTGCCAGATCGAGATCCTATTAGCTTCAAGCCAGTCTCCCTCCTTTAGATTTTGTTACTTGATTGACTTTGGGGTTGATCCTATCCCTAATTCCCAGTCTGGTGTTTTGGTAAATTATATTTCTCGAATAGGACTTTCCGCAGCATGCAGAGATCTATGGCCTCAACTTCTAGGATCAACCATATAAATGTAGTGCTTGGGACAGATTAAGCCCTGGCATAAATTAATGCCAGGTATGAATTTGATCCAGCCTATATACTTGAACCCACATTAAGAACTCACTTTATTTCATCTTATTACAGTTGAGTAGTTCCTTGTCCTTGAAACCTTTTACAACAAAAATAAACTTACTTTTTGACCATACTTTGAAAACTCCCACCCACAAATATGAAGGATCCTAGGAGTTGCCATGCAAGGTAACCTCCCTCCTTTCACAAAGCAAATCTTAAGAGTATTTGCTATTGAAGGGTGTGCCACCAGACAGTTTTTAACTGAGGAAGATAGGTGAGTCATCAATAGGAGCATGATCAAGGGTACCTCAAGGCAAACATGTTCTGCCAGTCTAATCCTTGCTAGCCCCCCACTCCTCTCTTAACCATCTAGCCAGATAGCTAACCCTCAAGGGACAGAAACCTTACAATAATATTAATAATAAAATAGATAGGAGAGGGTTAAGGCTCTATTCTCCTTCTGTAACCCAAATTTGCTAATCTGGACACTGATCTTCTGCCCCCTCCAAAAAAATACAGAAAATTTCAGAAAATCCATTTCAAGGGATATCTCAAAGTTTGCTGCAATAAGTGATGTAATCATGCCATCATTTCCACACTAAACAGATTAAATCCTCCCATCCTTGAAGCCAGAAGATTAGACTATCTTTCTGAATCTAGAACTGTCATTTATTATTTAGTCCTTTAGGTTTAGAATATAAGAAGGCTGGTATCCTAGGCTTTATGTGCCTTTGACATTTCTTAAAAAACTCAAATCAAAGCATAAAGATAAATCCAGCAGCAAACTCATGTATCTTTATTATGGTTTCCTGCAGCACCCATAAAGTTAGCATCCAAATATGTTCCAGTTAAATTAAATCTACATGGCGAGGTCCCTAAAATGTCCGTGAGTTTTCTGTTCTCCCTCCCTGCATAAGGTAGGAACAACTCTTCCCTATTCAGGGAAGAAAATATTTAGTTAGTTTCATGCTAATTTGGGTGGAAATGCTTTGTCAAAGAGGGGGATCTTGCAGCAAGCCCTGAAAGCGGTCAGACTCTGGATTAGTCTGATCCCCTCTAGAAGTTTATTCCATAGCCAAAATTCCATGACCACAAATCTTTATCTCCATCTCTCACCAGCTTCAGCCTGGGCTTTGTAAGATACATTTTCCCAGAGGAGCACAGCTGAGTTTGTAGGCCACAGATGTAGCTGGAGGATGAATGTTTTCTCTGATACATCATTCATTGGCCTTTGCACAAATCAAGATACCTGAACCTTCATTGGTCTGACCTAGTATTTTGAAATCTATTTTCCTCTTCTAAATAATCTTTGGAAATATAAATGGCATGGGTGGGGAAATTTATAGTGAAGGTCGCCTAAGTATTTCTATTCCAAAGGGTAATATTCCGCTGCTTATAACTTTCTCCAAGTTTTACCTTTACAGCTAAAATTTGTGATGCGTGAGTCAGGGAGCAAATGTTTTTTTGCAAGTTCCATCAAAATGGTTGAGACATTTTAAATCACAGAGGAAGTGAAAAACAAATATGTAGTTCTTCTACTAAGAAAATGTGTTGCAATCAGTTTCTGAAAACTTCTAGCACCTCTGGCAATGGTGATATAAACTTGGAAATTATCAGAAACAGTCCCCTGGGTTTATGCATTTTTCACTGATCCGGTGAAAATTGGATACGTTGTGGCCCTAGTTGTAAGGGTTTTTAAACATGAACTCTGGACTATGTTAAATGGTAAAGCTAACAGTTTGCAATACACATGCATACACATGTAAACTGAATGGGAATTTCTATTGAATAGTGTCTGAGGATTCCAGTAGATGTCCACACAAAACAAAATGGAATAGAATTGCAGTTTTCGTAAGCAGGGGGATTTGGAGTATCAAAAGTACTTCATATTGGGACTGGAACTTCCGTTGTCTTTGTACAGCAGCTAGCACAAGGAGGCCCTGCTCATAATTGGAACCTTAGTAGTACTGCGATACAAATAAGTAATTAATTAATTAATAATAACGGTGCATATGGGGGAGGTGGAGCTGTGAAGAAATCCTGCCTTTTTCTATATGGTATAGAAAAAGTACTTGAGTAATATGAGGACGATAATCCTCCCTTATCTCCCATTGGTCTGGTTGGGTGAGGATAAACTCATTAATGTTGGTGAGACACTCAGATACTACACTGATGGATACTACAGAAAGCCTACAGAGAAAATTTTCTCATTCAGGGGAGAACTTGGCTGTTGTGCAGAGTACAAAACCAGCCACTGAATAATGAGAATAAAAATAAATATTGAACAGCTGCCTCATTCACTGAGCATTGTTCATCTTGTGCTCTGAATATGGCAGGCATCCTTTGGGAAAAAAATAACATGGTTATGTAATTAAAGATTGTAGGTGGAATTTCAAAAGCACCTACTGAATTAGGAGCATATGACTTTCCATGGGATTTGTACAAGTCAGTTAGGCATTTTGAAAATCAGACCCTGTATCATATTTCACAAAGGTTAATAGTTAAGTTTGCACCAGCTACTTTAACTTTGTATTTTTTTGATTTCTGAGTGCTTCACTTTGCAACCTTAAGGATCTTTTCATGCAGCTTTTTGGTAGCGAATTAGATCTGATTCATTACACACACACATAAGTATGCCCTCACCTTTTAGTTTACTCTGAGTTTATGTTTTGCAGGTATCAAACTACCATCAGCTAGAGAGAAGCAAGCCATAAATGTCTTTTCCCCTGCAGTCCTATTCCTGGAAAGGGAAATAGCAGCCCTCGAATTTGCCAACCCCATAGAGAACTGCAAGGGGAGAGTGAACATCAGTGTAAGTCCCCCGGTCAGAACTTAGGCATCAGCTGTGGTAGGACAATAGACAGAACCTGGACAAATATGTGGGGTATTCATATGCAAATGAGCACACCAAGCTTCCCACAGCAGTTGCCATAGTGGAGACATTCATTCAGTAACCTTGCTCCAGCAGTGACC